CTGTTATCTACTCGCTTCAGTTTTCCAAACACACCTGTTATCTACTCGCTTCAGTTTTCCAAACACACCTGTTATCTACTCGCTTCAGTTTTCCAAACACACCTGTTATCTACTTGCTTCAGTTTTCCAAACACACCTGTTATCTACTTGCTTCAGTTTTCCAAACACACCTGTTATCTATTTGCTTCAGTTTTCCAAATGCACCTGTTATCTACTCGCTTCAGTTTTCCAAATGCACCTCTTATCTATTTGCTTCAGTTTTCCAAACACACCTGTTATCTACTTGCTTCAGTTTTCCAAACGCACCGGTTATCTACTTGTTTCAGTTTTCCAAACGCACCTGTTATCTAACTGCTTCAGTTTTCCAAATGCACCTGTTATCTACTCGCTTCAGTTTTCCAAACACAACCTGTTATCTACTCCCTTCAGTTTTCCAAACACACCTGTTATCTACTTGCTTCAGTTTTCCAAACGCACCTGTTATCTACTCCCTTCAGTTTTCCAAACACACCTGTTATCTACTTGCCTCAGTTTTCCAAACGCACCTGTTATCTACTCCCTTCAGTTTTCCAAACGCACCTGTTATCTACTCCCTTCAGTTTTCCAAACGCACCTGTTATCTACTTGCCTCAGTTTTCCAAACGCACCTGTTATCTACTCGCTTCAGTTTTCCAAACGCACCTGTTATCTACTTGCTTCAGTTTTCCAAACACACCTGTTATCTACTTGCCTCAGTTTTCCAAACACACCTGTTATCTACTTGCCTCAGTTTTCCAAACGCACCTGTTATCTACTCGCTTCAGTTTTCCAAACGCACCTGTTATCTACTTGCTTCAGTTTTCCAAACACACCTGTTATCTACTTGCTTCAGTTTTCCAAACACACCTGTTATCTACTTGCTTCAGTTTTCCAAACGCACCTGTTATCTACTTGCTTCAGTTTTCCAAACGCACCTGTTATCTACTTGCTTCAGTTTTCCAAACGCAGCTGTTATCTACTTGCTTCAGTTTTCCAAACGCAGCTGTTATCTACTTGCCTCAGTTTTCCAAACACACCTGTTATCTACTT